GGAGAAATATGGCTAGAGGAAGGATGACTTTATAATTGCCCTGTATTTTTGGGCTGGCCAGCTTGTATTACTGGCTCAAGATAGATGGACTCTGATCTGACCCGGCTTGCCTGCTCTGTACCATGTGAGTATCTGCAGAGGTTAGATCAGATCGGCTGTTAGGAACTGGAACTGACCAACAGATTCAACAGGCTGGGCTCAAAAGTCCTGGGTAGTTTTTGTGGGAACAGAACATGGATTCTCTGTTCTCTTCTGAGACATGCCATTTCCAAAAAAGCTAAGCCCGGCATTACTAGGGCTTGCAATTTCACCTCCACTCTGGGAATTGTAGTGTTTTAATTTGTTTGTTTGTTTGTTTTTCCTTAAGGCTTTAGCTGTGGGAGTGACTCTCAACTTTCATGTAAAAATTATCCATGTAATTATGATTATACTTAATTATAACTATATTTATTGTTATTCCTTCATGATTTCTTATAATCGTAAGATCTTGTAATTTGGGGGGGAGGGGAAAGAAAACACCTTTAGGTGCATGTAAAATAGGCTGGAGGTGGGGAAAGTCCATAGCTTGAATGCTTCTACCATGCGTCAGGCACCGAGAGCTTTTTTGATGAGCTGGTGCCCCACCACGTGCTGTGTCCCCAGGAAGGATCCCTGCAGCCCATCTCCACCGCCTGGGTTTGCTTGTTTGTCCTGGAGCTCCTGGCAACGTGCAGAGGTTCCCATTGCTGCAGCCACAGCATGGAGTGTAAATGCTTCTTCTGCAAACAGGACAGGAGACACAGGAGGCTCGATCCCTGTGGGCAAGGGAGCTACATTGCCGTGCCGAGCAGCTGGAAAATGTTGAGGGGGGGAAGGCTCCGGTGGCAGCAACTCCTTTGGGAGTCCAAGCTGTTCCTGGAGGTGTTGGCAAGTGGTTTTGTGCTGTTACTTAAACAGCTTGGGGTTTAAACCGATGCTCTTTTTTGAGTTTCAGCTAACAGAACAAGTGTGGCCAATTCTGAGCTGGAGGAGGCGTTGCTCAGTTGTGGATTACACGGCCAGCAGCAGGCAGCTTCCCAGGAGGGGCCAGGCAGCAAGGAGCCGAGCCGAGAGCTTCCCAGCCTCAGTGGAGTGGGCAAAGGGAGGAGGAGAGGTGAGATGCGGCTCCTGGAGGGACAGGAGCTTGCTGGAAGCTTTGTTAATGCGGAGCTGGCTCTGGTCTGCGGCAACTGGCTCTGTCAGCCCGGACAAGCTCCGTCCAGTTATTCCTACTGATCCCTGTGATCCTGGCCTTAATACAAAGGCTGTTCTCCTTTCTTGCAAAAAGGAGAGGTGTAGCTGGAAGACACGGTGTAGTTTAGGTGAGACTCGTCATACCAGCCTCTAGCACTGATAGAGACCTGAGGCTGTTACAGCTGTGGGGCTGTAAGAGTGGGGAGCAAAATGTGTAAAACCACATGAAGTTGCTGTGCGAGCAATACTGATGCATGTGCCAAGGGCACTGGAGCAGAGAGAGGCCACGGAAGGACTTCAAGTCCTCAGAAAAGCCACTTGTTTATGAAATATGTGAGGGTTTCGGCCCATTCAGTTTATCCAATGTAAGACTAAGAGGGTGGTGACTTAACATTAATAGAAGAATCATACCAGGTTCAAGAGAGCCGTTTAAATGCTTGGGAAGTGGGCAGTGGCAGACAACTAAAAATACCAATTAAACAACTTCAAATTAGATGTAAAGACCCAAGTTATAACAGGAGGGTTCCTGTTGCAAGGCAATGAACTGTACCAAGGTACCAACCTTTGGAACAAATTAATCCTTCAAATCAGCCAACCGTCGCCTTTCGGGAAAAGCTGCTTTTCCTGTCGTCGATATACTAGGCTGAAGAGCTGCGTCATCATATTGAGCTTTATAGCCTGAATCACGCAGGACGCAGGACTAAACAAATCAATAAATCTTCGTGATAGATGGCCACCTCATGCTAACATGGCCCATTTGTGCATTGTGCTGAGATACGGTGCCTGCGTTTGGGACAGTAAGAGAACAAGTTCCCTCTGGAGCAATCTCTCTGTATTTGCAGGAATTATTGATGAGCTGGAAATTTTTATTAATGAGGCTATTTAGATCCTGAAAGGGAGAGCTGTGATTGCAGCATGGGGGGAATCTTCAGCAACGCGGTTTTATGGCTGCAAGCGTCAGTGGAAGTGCCGCTGTGTTGGTGTTGCTTTTGAGTGTTGTTGGCGAGAATAACAGCTTGACAGTGTCGTTCTGACAGCCCCATGAGTGCCCCGTTGTGTTCTTGTGATACCCCAATCATGAGCCCACCAGAACACTGCTTGTTGTTAGGATACTAATTGATTTATGGCTCACTGCTGAAGCACTTTGGAGCTGTAATCACAAATTAGGACTGCACTGTGCGAACACAAAACCTAAGGGCTCTCCCTTCTCCAGAAAGATTTCAATCCAAACATTACAATCTAAACATATAGCAAGAGATAGCCTATGGGATACCAACAGAAGATGTGGAAACAACAGGCTGACATTGATCAACGTAATAACATGCTTTTGATACACAGGTTTGCTCACCTGCAAACATTTCTTCCTCTTCCATTATGACATGACCATATTTGATTTCCTTCCCCCAAGACACATACTTTCTGGGCTGGAATTGAGAGCTTGGTTCATTTTCCCAAGGGTTTATGGAGGGATTTATCGTTTCGGACTCTCTCATTGGCTTTGTGAGCGTCGGTGCACAGCGGTGAGCTGTTCCTGGGTGTGCAGGGACTGGCCTTGCTCGTTCTGACACCAAGCACGGGAGTCGCAATGTCAGAGCATTCACTTCCCCAAGGGGATGTTTAACCAGTGTCTTCTGTGTTACCAAACCTGAATCCCTGGGGGTCATTCACATGGGCTTGGAAGTATTTATCAGTCCGTGCAGTTGTGAAACTATGCAGTGTTACCATGGCATCCCAATAACACAAACAAACTCTGCTTGTGATGTCTCTGAATTGCCAGATCCTGCTCTGCTTTAACCTGACTTGAAACTGGATTTAAATGGGGAATGTTCACTTTGCAGGATGGGTGCAAGGGATCTAAGCTGGCTAGCTGCGACACTGGGAGCATATAGTGGCAAGGTGAATGAGGCTTTCCGGAGTCTCTCCTGCATTGGCTGGGTTGCTAATGGTACAGAAAAGAAAGCTTGACCTTTGAATGGAAGACAGACTCATCCTTACCTAAAATCATTGGTGCTGCATGGCAGTAATTAAGATTAGAGAATGGCTTTTCATTCATCTGGCCCTTGATAGTACAAACCAGGGTGAAGTTCAGTTCTCTTACTGCTGAACTGGTGTTTTTGCCGAGGCTGCTGAGAGCAGCTTTGCCTTTATGATAGTTTATCGGACAGCGGGCTTGTATTTTACCTGGCTGGATTGCTTTCTGGTTTGTGTGTTGTGTTGTGCCAAAAATCCCTGTCTGCTGATACAAAGGAATTGAGGCTGGAATGCAACCTGATAAAATCCAGCAGCCAGGGCTTACTTTGGTGGGATTTATTCTCGCCTGACTGTAGGACTCTAAATCACACATTCAGATTCAATCCCTGTCTTCTCAAGACAACCCGGAGGAGTTGCAGGAGAGCAGCCTGCCTCTCTCCGCGAACTCGGAAGGACCTGGAGCTATGAAAAGCAGCTGGAGGCTTCTGCCTTGTTACTAGCAGTGTATGGATGAAATGAACCCTAGCCTGTCTACGTCAGCCATCAGGTCAAGTATAGCTGGGTATGCATAACACACGTTTGCTTTATACTCAATAGATTTATATTTTTTTGCTGGTGGAAACTGAGCCAGCTTGCAGGAGGGAGGAATCTTGCTTCATATGTCTCTGCCTGGCTCAATCTCCTCCTTTCTCTCCTTTGAAAAGAGAATTTCCTTTTAGTAGCTGGGATCTCCAGCCAACTTGTATTCTTCCCGCAAAGAAGGAAGTACGTATTTTGAATAGGCTGTGGCCAGAATATGTAGCCAGCGCTATCTTGGTGTCCCGATGAGGGGAATAGCTGAAGGGTGACACATTCAGGCCAGACTTTGAAATCTCATGGAGGATTTACAACCTGATAGTAAAGAGATCTGTCCCTTCAAGGCTATTTGGAAATGCAGAAAGCCCATAAACCTAATTTTTGTCTCTGCCTCTTCTGCACAGGAACCCAGAAATTTAAGCAGAAACCTGTCCTGTCTCCTTTTGAGTGTGGACTAGCATGTCGAGTGTTTTCATGGGCAGGGTGCAACCCACCTAAACCACCTTTATTTTAGCACTAATAGGAGAAAGAAGGCAAAACCATGGTGTGCAGGGATAGCTGCAGCATCTCTCATCTGCCACCCTCATTCCCCTGCCTGGCGCAGACTCGCTGGGTGCTGCTGGCAAAGTATAGTGTGTGTGTCCAAGGCTGCAGCTGGCCTTGGTTTATATTGAACTAGGCTGGACCTGGCACTAAGCTGAGGCCCCTTATCTCATTTCTGCTTTTGCACAGGGGAGCTACCTGTTCTGCAATAGAGTTAAAAGTCAGTGCATTTTCCCCCTCTTCTCACTTCAACATCCATTTAGGCAAGCAGAGAGGAACGGAGAAGCCTGGAGGAAATGGGGATCGGACCTGTCCTGTTATAACTCTGTGAAGGGAGCCCAGAAGAGCCCATGGTTCACGTCCCTCGGCTGCGCATGTGCCAGAAGCAAAGGGAGGTGCAGAACAAAGCCAGGTCTGAGCACGGGGACACGGCGCCAGGTGTGTCCTGTCCCTTCCCTGGCCCTTCCCTTCTCGCCTGCTCAAATTCAGCAGGTTGACGGAGGGTGGGAAGGCAGCCAGGCACACCCAGCTCTCTGAGGCAGTAAAATGATCCCTCTTTTGCCCTTGGGCCAAGCCCAGCTTTTCTAACGGATAAAAGGAGAAGCAGTCGGGAGACCTCACTCACTTCCCTGGTCTCCAGCACAGCTTCCCTGAGCTTTTGAAGAGTGGGGGCTACTGAAAACACCCTCGAAGCAACCATGTCCCGGTCTGTGAGTTTCAGCTCTCGCTCTGCAGTGGGACCAGGGATCAGCCAAGTGCGGGTCAGCACCGTCTCCTCGACCCGTGGACTAGGAGGGGGTGTCGGCTTAGGCAGGGCAGGTGGTTTTGCCAGCTCCAGCCTCTACAACCTTGGCTCTGCCAACAAGCGGATCTCTCTTGGAGGTGGCAGCTCCTACAGCGTTCGCTCTGGATACGGCTATGGAGGCATGGGATTCGGTGGGGCACTCAGCCCTGGGGGCATTCAGGAGGTCACCGTCAACCAGAGCCTCCTGACGCCCCTGAATCTAGAGATTGACCCCAATATCCAGCGGGTGCGCAAGGAGGAGAAGGAGCAAATCAAGACACTCAACAACAGATTCGCCTCCTTCATTGACAAGGTGAGGTGTTGGAACGACTGATAGTTCTGTGGACACTGCTTAAAAGCAGATCTGACCCAAAGCCCACTTAACCCAGTGGGAGATTCACAAATGGGCTTAGGATCAGATCTGCAAGAGCATGGTGTGATTTGCATACTACAATCCAATAACTCTCATTAAAGCCCTGCTTGCATTGCCATCAGTAAAATGTTTTGCCCTGCTTAGGCCAGTTTTGTACCCCCTTTATTTAGCTGCTGTTGCCCAAAATGTGAGTGCAGGCTTTAAAGATCAAATCTGCAGCCAAGCACACATCACCAAACGCAGGGAGGAGGGGGCCCCTTGGAGAGGAATCATCCCAGTAGAACAGGTCTTGACGTAAGTCAGAGCTTGCTGTGTTTGTTTGCACTGCCCTGTACCTCTGTGGCTTTGCTGTCTTGCACTAATTGATCCCGTGTCCTGTGTAAACTTCAGCTCTGGCATCCTCAAAATGCAAGGAATCCAGACCTGGAGTTTGAGTAATTGGCTGACTCTGAGGTCTGTGGATGGCTTCTGCCAAGTGTCAGGCAAGCAGAATCTGCTTATCTTTAATTCATACAAAGCCTTAAAGTCATAAGCCAAGCCCCAGAGTAGCAGTGCTCCCTCATGGTCTTTATCACCCTGCAGAGTTTAAGTGCTTCCTATGAGCAATCTAAATTCTTCAGATACCATCCACAGCCCTTCTTTGCCCCAAGATCCATACTCTGTAGTGTCAGCTCCCCCTTCCTCCTGCTTCCACAAATGACCCCTTGGTTGCTTTCCAGGTCCGGTTCCTGGAGCAGCAAAACAAAATGCTGGAGACCAAATGGCACCTCCTTCAGGACCAGAAGACAGCCCGGAGTAATATTGCTCCCATGTTTGAGACATACATCAACAACCTGCGAAGTCAGCTGGATGGGCTGTTGAATGACAAAGGGCGTTTGGAGGGCGAACTGAAGAACATGCAGGATCTTGTTGAGGATTTCAAGACCAAGTAAAGTATAATCTTCCCATCTAACGGTGTAGTGGAGCTGGCAGGCTGGTCAGTAGCTTGGCAGAGATGTCCCCAGCTTTTCTGCTAGGGAGGGAGATTTTTTTTCCCAGCCATAAGTTAGGTGTCTGGTCCAGGGAAGCTGCCTGGATTCTTCTTGCCTGGATCATTCATTGTTCCTGGCACCTTGTTCCCACATGGTCTTCAGTGGATCCATCCTTTTGGCTTTGCTTTGGGGCCTCCTTAGGGATGGCTTCGTGCTTTGGGTTGCACATGCCAGTTTGGGTCCATAGGAACCCTGTGGGAGCTTAGCAGGTTGGCAGGCGGTGGGGTGAACTGCTGCTTGTTTTGTGGGTAGGTAAGGGAGCAGGTCACCTGCAATTTTTAAGCAACTTCTCAGTCCAAATTGTGTCACCTGGGAGGAGTCCCATGAAGAAAGTAGCCTTTGTCCCAGCCTGTGCCCAACCCAGCTGTACAGGGGAATGCCTTTAGTTAAAAAAAAAAAAAGGGGGAAAGAAAAGAGGGAGCTGGCAAACTGGATCAAGCAGGAACTGAAAACAAACAGATCTGATAATCTCTGGGGTGTGTTTAGGGAAAGTCAATAGCCAGTAATTCCTGAGGTGCATGGGAATGATGTTTCCCCCAACCAACTGCTCAGTTATTTCTGCTCCATGCTCATCCACAGTTGTACTTTGCATCTCTGGAAGGCAGGAGCAAGGAGCTGGTTTGCACACAGAGGAATTATAGCCCTAGTTTTAGTTGCATGTCACGTGAAGGCAAGGTGCACAGGTGCATATTTATTCCTCCAGCTTACAGGTCCATGCTGGGAAGCTAAACCCTGTATGTGCTAAGGGAAAGGAAGTAGAAATTAGGAGCCTGAGATGCTATTGCAGCAGAGGGAGTGAGGATATAGTAACTGGAGTTCAGAACCTACTTCTCCCCATTTATGTGAAGAAAATCTGATCTTCTAAGTAGAATACCTGAAACATGACTAGCTCTTTATGTGCTTGTTGCCTCTCTTTGTCATACGTCAAATTTACACAGTGATTCTCCGTTTACATCTAGGGTAGGGGAGGAGATTTATAGGCACAAGGCTCCAGGGGATGAGATTCAGTCCCTTATTCAGTAACTGCATTGACTAAAGGTGTGGTTCAAAGTAAGCAAGGGTAGGAGCAGACCGTGTTTGCGCTGTCCACGTGGCTTGGTGCAGGGCATGCCAAGGTGTGATCGTGCACCGGGCTTCCCGAGGCACCTCAGGAGTTAATGGACAATATTTGAATGATTTCTCAATTCATTGACCAGCTCGGTGGAGCCTCCCCCAGGAAATGAGGAATTTAACAAACCATTCTAGAATAATTTAGTCTTAAATAACAAGATTTAGTCTAATCTCTGATTATCCATTCTACGCTGCAGGCTATATGTATGCAGCACAGTCACATAATTTCCAGGTCTTATGTTACTCTGTAATGGCAACGGATGCAGTTCATTGACCTCAAAAGAGACGATGTCCATTTATGCCAGTGTGGATGGGCAAGCTTCCAGCGTGGAGCCGAAGGGGAGGTAGATGAAGGCTGTTGAAAGTGAAGTAGCTCACGCTTTGGAAGGCAAATTACAGCGTTAGCCGTACGGGGGCTGTATAAATCAGCAGAGCAGTGTTCTAACATTGGCAACAGCAATTTTGAAACAGCCAGAGAAAATGATTCCTGCTCTGTTCTTGGGGTGACTTTCAGGATTTGTGGAGCAGATTCTTGCTGTTTGTTTCAGCAGGTTGGCTGTACGTAAAATAGCGCAGAGCAGGCTCTGAGATCCAGGCTTGCAAGTGGTACAGATCGGTGAACCTCCTATAAAGTCAACGGAGCGTGATTTGTATCTGCCGAGGATCTAGCTCATTACATCTAAAGGGGAACACCTAAGGAAGGGATGTAGCCAATACTAGAAATTTGTGCGGCTTTGAAGCATAGCCACTCTGTGTGGAATGAGAATAATTATACTTCGCTCTTACCAGGACAGTGCCTTGTGATTGACACCTGCAAAACGTTCTTAAATGTCTGTAATAAGGAAGAGCGCAGTGAAATTAGCATTAACAGATGCTTTAATCAGCATAGAGGAATTGGTTGAATCTGCTTGCATCTCTTCTGCATTTGTATTTGCTCCCTCAAAAAGGGAAAGGAAAAAGCTGAGGGCCTCAGGACGCAGGCTGCCATCCTGCAGCTGTCCATGACTGAGGATAAGGACCAGAAATCTTCTGAAATGCAGTGAATTTTGGTGAATGTGGGGAAAGCGTGGGTAAGAAATGCTTTCCAGGTTAGTGGTCATGGCGGTGTGGACCAGAACAGCTTTCAGGCATCAGCTCATCCAAACAGTACCCTGGAGCTGTGGCATACAGCTGGTGCCTCTTGTGCAAATAATACACATGCTGCAAACCTCAAAAAAAGTACAGCAAACCTCTGTCTGTGGCTGACTTGCTTGGGGAAGTCATAGGCTTTGCCAAGGTAGTTCACAAAGAGAAAAATGGAGGGAGAGAGAAGGGAATCAGGGCTGCTCTTCACTGTGATATTTTTTTCCTTTTACCCAGGCTCTAACTTTGCACCAATCCCTTTTTTTTCTGGCAGATATGAAGACGAAATCAACAAGCGCACGGCAGCAGAGAACGAATTTGTGGTGCTCAAGAAGGTGCGTGCCATGGATATTAGCTGGGACAAATAAATGTTTGCAGCCCTTCTCCCCCTCTCGCCCTTACACTCTTTTTGCTCCAGCTGTGCCGAGAGACCTGCAGGGGAAGAATTACAGCTCTCATTTCTGGCTAAAGGCAGGGTAGTCACTGAAGTCTCTATAGGAAGCTGGGAAGGAGTGCCAGATCCCATGGATATTGTAGATTATGGCTATATCTTTCTTTGGGACATTTCCTAAGGCCTCCTCTGATTGTCCAAATTGACAGTGACCTTGCAAACACAGGTCCAGAGGACCCTACAGAACATATGGGATCCTGCACACCAGCAATATTTAGTACACCGGTAGATAATTTTTAGGACATGGTGGGTCATTGGGCGGAGGGACATAGAGAGCAGACAGCTTGGGGAACTTGGGCTCATGGCTACTTTTGAAGCCATCAAAGGGTGGGTAGACTTAGTCATCAAAGCTACAGTAATCTCAGCGGATTATCACTTTTTTAGGATGTGGATGCTGCCTACATGAACAAAGTGGAGCTGGAGGCCAAGGTGGATGCGCTGACGGACGAGATTAACTTCCTGAGGTCTCTCTATGAAGCGGTAGGGTCCTTTCTACTTCTTCTGGCTGCTGCAGTTTAGCACCACCAGTGGGTGAAGAGCAGTGAATGTTGACAGAGAAAATTAAAGTACTGTTTCCAGAGATGAGAAGGGTGATGGAGACATGGAATCTTCCCTTACATATGCAAAAATAAGCCTGCAAGTGAAGTGCACGTCCTGTGAATTGTCACAGTGGTTTCTCCCTGTGTGGGATGTGAGATGGATTTATTACAAGTGTAGCCAGGACATGCATTATTTTTTTGATGCTGTTAGTATGAAAACAAGGAAGCCCAGTGTATTATAGCCAGTGCTGTAGTGCTGGTGTGTGCTTGTGTGCTGTGTGAGAGAAAGAAAGGAAAGCTCCTTGTCCCAGACACCTTTATCTTACCCTTTATTTGCAAGATGAGAGATTGATTGAACTGGGCATGTTGCATCCTTGGGTGAGGTGGTGGAATTTGGCCCTTACATTGTTGTGAAGCTGATACCCGAGGTTCTTGGACTAGCATTTCATGCTGGGTTCTTGTCTCAGGAGTGGAGTAAACTAACCTTGCTGTCCAAATGTGGGTGATAAGAAGTAGCTCCATTTCTACTGATATTTGTGCTTTGCAAGATTGATGTGATTCAGTTGGTTTCCATCTAATTAATGACTGTTTTGATTGAATTCTTCCTGTCTGCCTCCCTTTCACTTTTCTTCTTGGATTCTCTCTTTAATTGGGTTCCAAATGAGAGTCCCTTAAAAGTCGGTGATTAATGGTTTTGTTTTGAATGCAACTGGCAGGAACTTCATGAGCTGCAGGCCCAGATCTCTGACACCTCGGTGGTGCTGTCTATGGATAACAGTCGAAACTTGGACCTGGACAGCATCATTGCAGAGGTCAAAGCACAGTATGAGGAGATTGCCAACAGGAGCCGGGCGGAGGCTGAGTCCTGGTACCAGAGCAAGGTGAGTTATGGGAGAGATAAGGGCATTTACAGCTTCTGTGAGTACGTGTATCCTCTGTGTCATGAGTGGGAGAGATTTTAGCCAGCTAATTGCGAGCCTGACTGCATCCTTTTCTCTTATGCTGTTTTATGTCACAGTACGAGGCACTGCAGGTCACTGCTGGGAAACACGGAGATGACCTGCGCAACACAAAGAATGAGATCTCAGAGATAAACCGCGTGATCCAGAGGCTTCAGGGTGAAATTGAAAATGCAAAGGCCCAGGTGAGGAGCTGCCCTTCTCCTGCTGCAGAGCAGTGGGTTTAACAGCAACAAGTGTGCCAGGGATCTGGGTGTAACACAACATCTGCAGAAGCATTTTGGGGGTGGCTGCAGTGCTCATCCCAAAAGATGTCAGTTGTGTTGGAGGGAAAAACTCTGCTGTGAGCAATGTAATGCTGACAGGCAGCTGAACTGTAGGTGAGAGCAAGTTCGCATGCGACCCCGGAGTGCAGAAGGGGAGTGATGCAGAGCCGTTTCCAAAGGGCAAGGCTGCGTGTGGCCGCCCTCCCAGCCTCACACACTCCTTGTGCCCTCTTGCTTCTGAGATGTTTGTCCACTCCCTTTTTGCAGAAGGGAACACCATGTTTGGGCACATAAAAGAATTTTTCAGCTGTATGGGAGTTCTGTTTGCTCTCTCCAGGGGCTGTTATCGCTTTATCAAACGGCTGGTGAAAGCCAGACCAGTGAGTGGTTGAGACCGTGTTCAGGGCTGAAAACTGGCTGTAAATAAGCAACCAGCATGCACAAAGCTGGAGATAAGCCATTGTGATTCATCCATTTGTGTTTATTTGGTTTGAGGGCTGGGAGGCTTCAACACACACTTAGAAGCAAAGAGCTGACCCAGTGCAGCTCCCTTGAATAATAAATGAGAGTGTAAAGCACATGAGTTAATTGTGAGCCCTTCCTGTCAAATGTGAGACTTTTTTGGAGGTGCACGGGGCACAGTTGAGGGTGCGTTAGACTGCCAGCTTAATGTGGCCCCACAGGGATGCTTTTGGGGTAGATGTGCGTTGTTTGTTAACTGCAGGTCTGCTCGAGTCCACGCTTGCCTCACATCAAAGTTTGCTGGAGACCAGCTGGCTCTGAACAAGCTCTGGAGCGTAATAGGAGAGAAAACCTGAGCTTACATCAACCCTAAGTGTTATGCTGTTGTGTGTGGTGTGGGTGGGCCGAGAAACTAAGGATCACCTGAAGAAAGTCTTCCAAAAATGTAGCCAGTGGAGAGAAATAGGGTCTGCTTTTTGGAAGAATGTATCTTGGGATGGGATGAGCTTCCTTTGCAGGCTGATCTCCATCCAGTGCCCCAAAAAAATGCGTAGATATGAACTTTTAGGGATCTAAGTTGAGCAGATTGCTCCAGGGCTCTGCAGATACAGAGAGATGGTCTGGCCAGTAGACATCAGAAGTCCATGGGCAGTAGTGTCCTCCACCAAGGAGGTGAGATGCCCACTGACGTACCCTACTCCATCCCTGCAGCGTGCCAAGCTGGAGGCAGCCATTGCTGAAGCAGAGGAACGTGGTGAGTTGGCTGTCAAAGATGCCACGGCAAAGCTGGAGGAGCTGGAGGCAGCTCTGCAGAAGGCGAAGCAGGACATGGCCCGGCAGCTCCGTGAGTACCAGGAGCTCATGAACGTCAAGCTGGCCCTGGACATCGAGATTGCGACCTACAGGAAGCTGCTGGAGGGCGAGGAGAGCAGGTGGGTGCAACCTGTGGGTTTTATGTGAGGAAGGGTCCAACCCTTTGTTCCTTTTGTTCCCTTAGCTTGGGGACATTGTGAGGGCTGAATTCCAGCTTCAGAAAGGATATACAGAAGAGAAAACCTTGCATTTTTAAACTGATTTTTGGTCCTGAAAATGGTTTGGCTGAAGAGCCAAACTGGCAAGTTCTGGGGAAAATTTGATACTTTGGGTGAAAATATGCAAAAAAGAAAAAAGTTGTTTTCCATCGTATGTTCGATGCTGTGGCAGAAAATTTCCAAGTGACTCAAATCCCTGTGGAATTAGGACAGAGCTTCTGTGCTCTTTCAGCACCCCCCAGGTGATAACAGAGCTTGTAAATGTAGGGCCAGAACAAAGCGCTGGATGGCACACTTATCTTGTTTGAATTATTTACAACAGCAGTTAATAACTTACTGCCATTGTCTTCATCCTCAGCGCTGAGGCCCTGGGGGAACACTGAGTAATGCAGAGCCTAACCTTTTTGCCTTTGTGTTTTTCTTCTCCAACAGGTTGGCCGGTGATGGAGTTGGCAACGTCAACATCTGTGAGTTGATGCTCTAATTTATAATAATTAGACACAGCTATAAGCCTATAGAAAATGCAGGTGGGGACCAGCTGGGTCTGTGTGCAGGAGCCTGGTAGTGCCCTGCCTTAGCTTCTGCAACACAGTTACCCCCATTCTTGAATGGAACCCCCCCGAGACAGAAGTTGATAGTGCTGTTGGCTCCACAGCAGACTTCAGCTTGAACTCATCTGTATGAAATTAAACTTGGGGGAATATTGATCTTTCTTTCTTCCCATTTTTGTATGGAGAAAAATGTGTTAATGCAAAACTGCATTGCCTGTATTGGAAGTTAGTGCAAAGGTGACATTAGAGAGTGTCTCTCCAGTTCAGGAAGCACTGGGTATTCACCTTGCCAGGATATTGGACAGCTCTAAGCCAGTGGCTCTACTTTTCATCCACTTAATTGCCACTGATAGCTGGTGAAGCAGATGCCTGCAGCCTTGTTGGTGCACCAAGGGATGGGCTGAATGTGTTTATGATACGGGGTTCTCCATGCTGGAAGGGGTCCTGAGCCAGATCGAGTGATGGAGAAGGGGATGGACTGCTCAGCCCGCACATGCTTAGCACAGAGAATAAATGCTCTGGGCCAAAATGTAACAAGAGATTAGTGTCTCAGGCCTTGTGTTTTGCAGGAGATTATAGAGAGTTTTCATCTGGTTGCTGCAATTTGAAAGTGCCCTTTTTGTGAGGGTGCCAAACTGGGTTCAAAGTTCCCTGGTGCTCATGTTTGGTTTGCTTCTCTCTGTGCCACAGCCGTGGTCAGCTCCAGCGGTGGAGGTGGCTATGCTGGTTCCAGTGGATTTCTGGGAGGAGGAATCGGAGGAGGCCTTAACCTGGGAGCAGGCATGGGCAGCGGGGCACTCGGCTTTGGGGGTGGCTCCAAATCCTACACCGTCACCACAACCTCATCCAGCAGGAGAAGCTTCAGGAAGTAACTACAGGAACAAAGATCAGCGGTACCCATTGTACGGGAGAAGGGAAACCATAGAAAGAAAAGTCTTGTTGCCTTTTATAGGACAAATTGGCTGCAAAATTTCTGCAGTGATGAATGAATTGGAGTAAGACATACCAGAGTACCTGACCCTGCCACATCACGCCTAAGGCTTGATCCTGCACTGTTGAACTTAGTGGGAACCATTCCACTGAGAGCAGGTTCAAGCCTGTAGGGTGAAATTTATCCAGTGAAGCAGGCAGGATAACGCTTTTGTTACTTATGTGCTTGGTACCCCCTGCTCAGGGCTGGATTTCACCCTTTGAAGGGCAAAACAATCATTTGAGTGGCAAGTTATTCCACATTTCTGCTGTGGTTTTGCAAAAGAGACCAGAAGATTATCTCCCTCTTAATATGATTTTGATGAAGACTTTATTCCCTTAGGCTCCTCAGAAAATGCCAACCCTTGTTAAGATTTCAGCCTGGATTTCTTTTCTTGAAGTATACCGAGAAGAAAACAGTGAAACTGTTCTGGGTTTCTCCTTATTTTCTTTGGAAATGGGCTCAGAAATGGATTCAACAATTCTCCTCTGAATGAAGCCGATTTCTTACAAAGGCAGTGCAGACGGATGTACTTTCAGGTTCTTTATAGCGAAGTAGCCCATAAAGAAGCTCCCCCACCCATTCCCTCTCCTTAAAAGAAGCCCAAAGCTTAAGGGATATGAAGTTGCTTAAAATTCTAAGTAGCACACTCAAATGGGAGATAACATTCCCCATCCTTAGGTGTCTTTGTTTACCGCCCTGTGTTTCAAAGCATATCTAGTGATATCTGGTGTCTTTACTACAGCTAGGGAAAAAGTGTTTTGTTCATGCATCATTACAATAACTACTTGTTCCTGCCAAAATGTGTCTTCAACTTAAACATGCCAGGGAAGATAGGTCATTACTGCAGTAGGAAGAACTGTTAGATAAATAAGTCGAAGAAACTGCACGGAATTGTTGTATTGCATGCTCAGCCATGTCCTAGCATTGTATCTTTGGTTGACATTTTGTACCTTTGTGGTCTGAGACCTTGTCATGAGGCCATTAATAAAGTTTCTCTATTGCATGCTTCTTCACTCCCAGCTGAGTTCCTTGTCTGTGCTGCCCTGGATGCTCAGGAGCTCTGGAAAACATCCAATGTTATCACCTTCCTCCTGGCTCCAGACCCTGCGCCTGGCTGTGTCCCCTGGAGCAGTGCCACACTGTGGTCAGGGTCAGGATTTAGGGTTTGCTGTCTGCACAGTCTCTCGTTCCTGGGTGAATTTTGCCTGCCTGCTTTGCCCCAAGTCTGGGCAGTGGGATGATGGGACTGGTTTTGTTCAAGCACTTGGCTTCAGCCCAGCCCTTCATCAGAACTGAACCTGCCTGAGACCAATCCGTCTCTGAGCACCACCTTCCTCTGCTGAGCTGAGAGAAGCTAAACAGTGGAGGAGATGCCTCTCTTGCAGATGGCCAAAGCTTGGAGAGGTGAATCTGGGCCTTGCTGCATGAGGACAACTCATTCTTGCTCCTTTTGGAGCAGTGTGGGGTGAGAAGGAGTCACCCCGGGGTGGTTTGTGCTTGGTCCCATTCTTCTTGTAGGGCCACGGTGCAGACTGGTGGTGAGCCCTTGTTGGAGCTGCAGTTGCAGAAGGCATCACCCCAGTGGGGATGGGATCAGGCAGAGATTTTGAAGTCACCGAGAAAAGCTGTTCCCTCCAGAGTGAGGGTGGCAAGGGCACTGAAGGATGCTTTACCCGCCTGTGCACTACCCGGACCCCGTCGCTCTAGTGCCCAACACAGCCCAGCACCTCATGCCTGAGCAAATGCAGTGCTGGAGTCTGTGTGTGGTTTTACTACACACATGGCAGTAATGGCAGGGAGGAGAAAGGCAGGGTGCCCAGCAGAGCCGTGTTATCAGTGGCCGCAGCTCATGGTTTTTATGTCGTGGCCAAAAAGTAAAATGAAAAAAATACCCTGAAGTTAATTGAAACGAAAAACTCGCAGACAGACATTGCCCAGATGTTTTTGGCAGGAGGTGCCACTGTTTGCTGTTACGATGAATTGTGGGTCTCTCGTAACATTATCAAAAGATTAGCAGGGCTCCATTGCTGCTTCTTGAATTTTCAGGTGCGAGGCATGCAGCACTGACCTGGGAAGGGGAAACTTGCGGTCTGTGTGGCTGCAGCTTTTCCCTGTTAGCAGAACCACATACGCTGCACAGTGATGATGGGGAAAAGGGGATCTGCACGCTCCAGGAAATGCCATGGAAGATCTTTGTGAGTCCGTGGAGACGGATACCCTTTGTGCTTTCTGCTTGTTCTTTGGATCCGGTCTTGGCTGTCTGGGGTCGTAAGTGGAGCTGGTCGAAATTTAACCTCTCTGCTTCAGAGGTTATGATATTATGAAGGGCTGATATTATGAAGGCAAAGTGCCCTGAATTAGTGTAAAAGCAGGCATATTCAGAGTGTCTTGCTGGATTCAGGAGAAGTAATTCAGCTTCAGAAGCAGCTTTGCAATGGGGAGGATTTTTGCGGTTCTTGAGAAGGGAGACAGACGTGACCCAGAGAAACCCAGCACCTACCCACCCACTCCAGAGCCCTCCACCACGGAGCACTACCGCTGCCAGGCTGAGCAGCGTGTGAGCCGCCCTCGGTGCCGACGCCCGCTCTTCGGCAGGCAGAGCCATCACCCAGCTCTCATCACTTGGGCTGAGTCTCCTGGGTGCCAGACTTTGCCTCCCACCGCTTGTCTGAACAGCAGCTGAGCTTCCCGTGCTTGCTGGTGGGCAGGATGTCGCTGCTGGAGAGGGTAGAGGCAAAAAAAGAACAATGATAGGAGCACGCAGGCCTCAGAGGTAGAAAAAGCCATCAAATGACCCACAAAGCAGTATTTTTTGGCCTCCTTGTTTTGCAGCAGTGACTAAGAAGAGTAACAAGCATCTGAAATGTGCATGAAATCATACACAGACAAAGGATGTTCATGCTGGTGCGGGGCCAGGAACGTGCCTGGTCTGGACGTTGGAGTGACCTGGCAAGCTGCTATGGTTCATGGAGGAGCTGTGAATTTGGGCTGAAAGAATTTAGAGTAAAGCTAGAGGTCGTTGAGCTTTGGAACTGTGAGCTGAAGGAAAGATGGAGCCCAGCAGAAAGCAAAAGACAATTGCAGAGGGCAATTCCTCCTCGAATGGGCAAGTCCTTTGACCCATCTGGTGCCATCTCAGGGACACTGTTCTGCTCATGCTTTGGGGCAGGGTATGGCCAAGTCATCCCAGCCCCATTTTCCCTTCTGTTATGATTTAGGCAGGTAATACTACACAGTCAGGAGTGCCTCCATCTTTCTGTACTCAGCTGTGTAGTTTCAGCCTTCCACAGTACAGTTCCATAACTGTAGGTGTTGCCTTCATCTCTGAAACATCTCAAAGCCCTTAGTTATTACCATGTCAGTTAAACATCTTAGTATCTCTGCCTTGGTGAGAGCATGTTAATGGCTGGGGAGGTCGCTCCATGCACGTCCTTTACGCATGGGCATTAAGGATGCCCAGTTGATTTCATTTGAGTGGGCAGTAGTATTTCCTCTTTCCAAGGCAACTCTACATGGAAATCTTGCTGCTTCCGGAGCTCTTAAAAGCAGTGAAACTGCTTTTTGTCCTTCTTACATTGTTGCTGCTTTCCATGCAGGTGTAAAAGCCCAGCTATCCCTGCCAAGGCTTGGAGTATCTCAGCTTCTGCCTCTTGCTCTCTGCAGGGTAAAATGCACAATAATTATATTTTATGATAACTTACTTAAGTATGCTTTGTAAGTTTTTATCTAATGCTTTAAGCAATACTACTCTGTTTCTGCCATCTCTGCTTGCTCTTGATCTCTGTTTTTCTCCCCTGCTAGTAAGCTGTCTTAATTTTCTCCAGTCAAGAGCCCCAGCTGGATGCTGCGTTCCTGCTGGACCATCCCTGGTGTTTCCTTCTGGGCTGCATGGCAGGATGTGGTCGCTTTGCTCCATCCACCTACCCCTGCGGTCTTGCTGTACCGCCAGCTGCGAACGCTGGGATGCAAGGTTGGACATGTGTTATTGTAATAACAGGACTGAGGTCATTGGCAACGCGGTTCTGTCCACAGATGTCAGAGGGTTTTACAAAAGAGGTAAGTTCTGATCTTCTCTATAGGGAAACTGAGGCAGAGGAAGGCTGAGGACTTGGATACAACCAGGCCTGGGAAGAAGGCTGCAGGTGGTGGGGAGCTTTCTTCGGTTCCCCAGTGTTTAAACTGCATTTGCTTCAGTTTCCATCAGTTTTTCAGTAACTACTAAGGCCAAACCCCTGCTCTGAGATTGATTAAGATTTTAACCTTGTGTTTAAAAGGAATTAAATAGTGTGAAACCAGCATGGGCTGGGCTGAATCCCCAGCTCCACTGGGCAGGGAGGAGTAAGGTTGAGAGGAGACAACTCTTATCCTGGGAAGGCTTCCACCTGAGAAGCCTAATTAGCTTGATGGAAGGTCTAATTGGCTTGATGAGGTTATAAAGAGCAACACCCCATAGAGTGGAGATGAAAGGAGATCCTCCAGCTTCTGGCTGGGGATGGTGGGACCATGTGCTCTTGCACTGGAGCAGCTGCAGCCTGGGAAGAGGTGTGTAGCCTGGGCTGGGAGTTGGGTGTGCTTTGCTTGGGGAGGTTTGCTGCAGTGAGCTGAGCTGAACCTGGTCTGGCAGCAGGATGAGAGGAAGGACAAGGGGCTGTAAAACCATCCAGCAGCTCCTGGTATCTGGCTCCGAGGAGTTCCCAGGTGACTTGAGGCAATTAGTGATGGTTTTTAAGGGAATTTAGTAATAAGAAGTTTCAGTTAGCTCTATGCAAATTGCTAGAGCATCTTTGCTTAGTCAGTCCCCTCTAAATGTTTTTGTTTGTTTTTCCTGGGGGTGGGGGGGAATCATTTGGGGCTCCACCCTGTCCTAATGAAGGCATCTAACCTGGGATGGTGTTTCTCCTGCCTTGCCGACAGCCAGCTGTGTCATGAATACTCAGCATTGGGTGGAATGGATCCTGCTCCTTGTGTGCAGGTGTGAGGAAGAAGAGAGCTGTGCCTTCAACTCAGTGATGCTCTGGAGAGAGGTTATAACCCCTCTCCTTGCATAGCTGCTCATGAGCATGGAGAATAGATATGTTGGGGATTTTGGGAGACCATTGAAGTGCGGTGTCTGGGTTAGGAAGGAAGAGCTCCTGGGTGGGGGGCTTGGCCTGTGCCTGTTTTAGGCCCCTGTAAGCTTTGGTATTTGAGATCCTGAAACAGAGATGAGAATTAACCCCCTTTTCCCCAAATGAAGGTGTCAAATGAAGGTAACTGAGTTGCTGTGTCAATTTATCAGAGATACAAGACTAAAACTAGAATAAAAATCACTGACAAAATACATGGTCTTTAAAAATAAATCATGACTTCCCCTTTTCCTTCAAAAAGGGTTAATGTATTTAACTAGCAGTTCAGTATGCTAGGTACTGGACAACTGGGAAGGCAATTGATGCTGATCCCATATGTTTAAGGTTGGGTTTGAATCCCTTGAACAAGATCACAGAGGAGCTTTGTGTCTTGGGGCCAGACATGTCAATGGATCAGCCCCTTTCATACCTAACAGTGGATGACATTTGATGGCATTTATGGCAACAGATGAGCCAGCCCATTAAAAACCCAGAAGAAAAAGGGAGGTTGAGGATTAGTATCAGTTTCAAAACAGGTAATGCAAATACATAAGCAAACTGCCTTCAAATGGCAACAGCCCTTGAAGTCTATCCTTTGGGGTAAATAATCAGTGAATTTGATGGAATATGTAGGGGAACTGCAAGCTAGGCAATTTTAGGTGAGTTCTGCTCATGCCAGGGGTGTATGTGTAATCTAAAAGGCTGACTGATAAAACTGGGTTGATCCAGGGTGGGAGCTGCTGAGACAACTGGGTCAGATAAAGCTCTAATGAAAATGCTCTTAGGTAGAAGGTGCCCTCTCTCCCACTTCCTTTTAATCCTTGAATCTGTAGGAGTGGAAAGACCAGGGAGCTACACCAAAGGCATCTTCTTTTAACTGCATAATGGGAGTGATGAGGGGAATTTTAGCCCTTCTTGCTCCTGGATTCCCTAGCAGGAATAGCAAAACTCTTGAGCATAGAGAAGACCTCTTTGCCTTTTGTATCCCCATGCCATGGAAAATGGGCATGCAGTTTAGGGGAGCTGGGTGCACACCAGCTCTGGTTTGGCTGTTGCTGTGTGTTGGCAGAAAGATATGCGTGTCGCTCTGTTTTCAGCTTTGCCATTTCTCTACAGCTTTTCACATGTTGCACCTGGCTGACTTGGTCATGGACATCACCTTCATGTGGGAGCTCCTCATGCTCCTGTTGCTATCACCGTCACCACAACTCACCGCTGTGCCGCAGATGCCCGCGCTGCTGGTCCTGCACAAGTTTCTGTTGGCTGACGCATGGGCACTTGCAAAGCCATGCTCTGGGCTGTAGGTGAGACCTCCTTGTAAATGGCAAGCAGCTGCAAAAGGCAGAGCAAAGCTGCGTTTCAGCTTAGGGAATTCCCTGGAGAAAAGGCAGAAGATGCCTGAGTTTGGTAGAAGGTGAATATTCCAACTTGCAGATGTTGCTGGGGAAGCTGCCTTCTGCACAGAGCTAGTAGAGAATGGGAAGAGGTTGCACATTGTCAATCTGTCTTCAAATGCAAAACCCTTTAGCCTCAAATGTGAGCCTGACCCTCTCTCGCTGTTTGGAAGCAGTAGGTCTGGTGGTTTGGGTGGGTTTGCAGTGGTGGAGGTCTGTTAGGACTGATGGGAAGACCTGATCTGCGTCGGGACTATGAGATTGATTTGCAGCATGGCAGCTCTGAAATAGCACTGTCCAGTTGTTTTTCCTTTCAACCCATGCATCTAAAGTAGCTTATGCAGCCCTGCTAGGGTCTGTCACTCACCCGCTCTCCTCTCCCTCCAGGAGCTTCCTATAGGTGACGATCTCAATGTCCAGAACCAGCTTGATGTTCGTGAGCTCCTGGTACTCATGGAGCTGCTGGGCCAGGTCTGCCTTGGTCTGCTGCAAGGCTCTCTCCAGCTCGGAGGGTTTTTGCTTCGTACCCTTGACGGTTGTCTCCCCACGCTGCTCAACGTCAGCCATGGAGGCTTCCAGCTTGCAGCGCTGCAAGGAGCGAGACATGGTCAGTCTTAGCTGTCTCTTGCTATCTTCTAACGTAATGCGTTATCAAGAGATGGGTTTAAAGCCTGGCTGTGCATTGAGCCCAGCAGTAAGAAGGACACGCTGTCCCCTCTGGCAGGGGTTTGAGGGAGCTGGACATGCAGTTTCAGTGCTCTCTTGTGTTGTTCGCAGGGGATGGGATGCTGGAACCGCAGCTGCCTTCAGGCACTGCATGAGTTGGGCTTTAATGCAGCCCTGGTTGGAGCAGCAGAGTCCTAGCCCATGAACACCCTTTGCAAGGTGCTGCAGCACCATTTAATTTAGTGGTGGGAGCTTGCAGGAACAGAAATTCACTCTCTGCCCTGCTGAAACAACCAGACCTGGCTATGCGCACCTGATCCTTGGCGCTCCTGACTGCTCCGTTCAGCCTCTGGACTACCCATGTCAGCTCAGCTATCTTGTTTTTTGTCTCTCGCAGGCTCTCAGTGTTTCTGCCTGCAGTGACTCACAGCTCCTCAAACTAAAAAAGCCCAAAAGACCTTGTGTATCCCAAAAACACACACTTTGAGTTAAATCAGAGCAAATCAGGAGAACGGAGGGTGTTTCTGTGGGTTTGAAGTTGGTCAGAAGAGAGAAACGGCACCCACGCCCTCCCTCTGCCACGTTTTCTCACCTTGCTTTCATACCAAGCCTGTGCTTCTGCCCAGCTCCTGTGGGCGATTTCCTCATACTGAGCCTTGACATCCTCAATGATGCCATCCAAGTTGAGACCTCGGCTGTTGCCCACCTGCATGACCACCAAACTATCTGAGATCTGGGCCCGCAGCTGGTGGATTTCCTGGTGGCGACATGGGGTTGAGCTGGTCAGAGAGATACTGGTCCTGCTGTGCTCCCAGTCCAGCCCCAAACTGGTGTGTCACCCACGCTGTGCAACTTGGTCCCCCTTTGCCGTGACCATGCAGAGATGAATTGCCGATTCTCACCATTTGCTGCAAGGGATGACTGCTGCCCTGTGTTACCTCTTCTTCCTCTGTCTTTTGGGATAAGCAGCCTCAAAATCCAGCTGGGAAATGCAAACGATGGCTGGAGCAGTAGAGAGGCTTCTTACCTCTTTGTAGAACATTCTCAAGAATTCAGCCTCTCCTTTCAGGCTTTCCACCTTGGCTTCCAGCCCTGCTTTGTTTAAGAAAAAAACAATCTGCGTCCTGAAGATGCGTTGGGGATAGAAGGAGGAAGTTTGTGAGCGAGAGCAGACTCAGGGCTGCCCTTGGGGTGAGGGACTTCCAGTGCTGGTACCATGACCGTGCGGCAGCTCCCAATTACACAGTTGCTGCTGATTTGAGTTTGAGCAAACCCAAGTACCAGCTCCTGCTTGTACTTGTTTTGTGTGCTGCTTTTGGGAAATAAATCACCGCGTGCACCCCAAAGACCTGAACTGGGAGAGGATGATTCAAACAGCCTCTTGCTCACCTTCTTCAGGGCAATAAACTCGCTCTCGGTGTGCGTCCGCTGGCTGCGTTCGTCCTTGTACCTGCATGGGAAAATGGGAGATTTTGTTTGAGTTCAGCTCAATTATGTCTTTCTTTGAGTTTCTGCAGGCCTTCTTTCAAGAAGCGAAACTTGTATTTTTTTTAGTGTTTGTTTTTTTTCCCCTTCTCCCCAAACAGTGTTTTGGGATGCTTTGGTCTTGTTTTGTAGCCCATGGAAAGCAAATGTGTGTTCAGAGAGGTTTCTGCATCTTTACAAATTTACAGCAGAAGTGTTTTCATTTGATCTCTGCAACAGCAAATAGCTGCTGAACATTTCTAAATGTTAATTCCTTGAAATAGGAAGGAGAGAAAGAGAACCTGGAAGAGGGACATCTTCTGTTTCCTCCATCTCTGTGTAAACTGGGACCTTGTTTTATGTCCTGAGATCTTGGTAGATCTCTCCATCTACCTACTAGTTCTCTGGGAACCATTTACTACCACGAAAAGTTACCAATATAAGCCTCTAACATGGGCATGATGGTGTTCTTGCAGTGGTTTTGACCGTGCAGAAAGCTCTGCTTGGTCTCCAGCACCTTGTTCTGCTCTTCCAGGAATCGAACCTGAATGGCAGAAAGCAAAATAGGAAATGAGATGAGGATTAAGAGCTCGTGAGAGCTGGTGTTCGTCCGTGCAACACCAGTGAAATGTGTTCCCCCTCTTGGTACACATGAATGCAGCATTTCCTAATCCGGTGTCCTTTCAGGAGTTCAGAGAGCTCAGCATCTTTCATGATTGGGCCCTGAATGCTGGAGAACAGCTGCTACACATGATAGTTGGCATCTTCTGTGAAATGGAAGAAGTCCACGTTGGCTTCCTTTCTCGCTTTCTCTCTCTTGGATTTTTAATTACAGCCCTGAGCAGAGCTCAGTACTGCCAGCTTGTCTGAGCCAGCCTGGCTTCGATCTGCTGACCCAACACAAACCTCAGCTCGGGAGCATCTCGCTGCCCTGGCATCCCGTCCCTGTTTAGCACTTGGCCTGATAGCTCTGTTGGCCGCTCCGGAGAGGGGATGGAGATAAATCGCTCCTTGTTTTCCCTGCGCAAGCTGCGGATCTGGAACAAGCCTTTCCAGAAATTTAGCCCTGATGCATGGGATCCATCTTTCCTGGCTGTAAAACACCTTTTGGTGTGCTCCTGCAATGCAGACATCTTCAGCCAACCGCCTAGAGTGCTTTCAGTTCCACGGAGGGAGAGAGGCGTTACTGGGGAACAAATAGTTTGACCCAAAATTGTTTCTGTCCTTTGACAGGCTCAGATCTAGGTGTCTATGGCCAGGTGAAACCAGCCCCACCTTCTGGTCTTACTCTGATGCCTGTGCAACTTGGAAAACCTCCCAAAGTGCTTGGGTGTTGCTGCTCTGTGACCCCTGTCTCCAGTATGCTTGGTGTTCCCCCTCCTCTCCGGGACTGAGATGGGGAGGAGGAGGAGGAGGAGATGGGAAGGCTCGGAGTGACAGCAAGTACCTATGGCAAATCTTCTAAACCTTATTCTAAAATTACACTTTGAGGTTAATTTTGTAATGGCACAGAATACCCACATTGCTCACGGTAAGTTTGATTGCAGTTTATTAAAGAAATTGCATAAAACTCGTACAGTTTGATGGGAGCAGAAGATGAGAGCAAATAAGCTAGTCACATTTTGGCACATAATTCTCCAGCTCTCTTCTTTGTCTCCCTCCCCCTTCTATAAAAAGAGAAGAGTGGAAAAAAAAAAAAAAAGGTGAAGAACAAAGGTATTAAACCAGAGATGTTTTTCCAGGTTATGTAAAATTTACGTCACCAAAGCCTGCTGTTCCTCCTTTTTGTTTTTCCTGTGTTTTTAACCCCTCTCTGTACTTTAAGCTCACTCTGGCTGCTGGAAAGGAGAATGGTTTGCTGCCGAGACAAGGGCTAGCACCCTGTAGGTTACGTGGTCTTTTGGCTTAAGTTATACGTACTGGGTAAGTGAGGAATTAGACATTGCAGAGGGCCAACCCCTTTCAGCTATGAAAAATGAAGGCTGCGTTTTGGATGTAGGTAGAGCTAGAGAGCCCTGGAGTGAAACGACAGCAATTCAAGAGGAATTGGGAAACAGCAACTGCCTCTGTATTGAAAGACGCTTCGGTTTCCATTCCTCAAGCCTTTGGGGAGAGCAAGCCCAGCAGTGGGGAGCAGGGTTGGCTAAAGGGGAGCACAAGAGACTGTGGTCTCAACACACCTCCTGGTTTCTATCGTAAGCGGGTGAAGGGACACATTCTGCTTTCATGTATACTGGTGTAAACTGAAGTCCTGCATCCACTCTGGATTTGTACCAGGGCACTGGAGCAGAAGGGAGCCCTGGGAAGCTGCAAGCTGAGCTCTAACGATGGCATCCATTCATGGGAAGGCTGATTACTCATTGACAAGCAGCACTGGGCTTCTGGTCAGCTGGGTGAGGCTTTATGCAGAGGAATTAATTGGACTTGGAGAGGCATCTCTCCCAAGCCCATAAGTAGCTCTGGGAATAGGTTTTCCCCTAATGGGAAGGTGATAAGTGTGGCTCTTTGGATGGTGTTAACGGGCTTTGTGCTGGCAGCAGGAGGTGGTGCTCAACCTCTTTTCTCCTGGTGAGCTGGGTGCTGCCACGACTTAGCTCTTCTTGGTGATGCTTTTTGATACAAGCCTTCATGCTTGAGCTGCTTCCCACGCCAGAGCTGAATCCTCCAGCCAGGCAGCTCCTGCTGCTGGAGCTGGCACCGCTTCCCCCCATGCTGACCCCAGCCCCAGCGTGTTCCCACCTCTGTAGCTGCTCCCAGATGAAAACATGGCTGTGATGGGAAACCATGGGCAGAGGGTTAGTTTGTTTGGAATAGTACAAAGGAATTTCAGCCTTTAGTTTCACACGTTCCTGGTTTTTCTTGGACAGTCTGCCACTGCCTGTACTTCGCACGTCTTACTCTCTGGCTTTTCTTCCTGTCCTGTGGCAGAGCTGGCCTTAGACATCCGAGTCTCCTAGGGACAATCTCAATGTATAAAATCTTTCAAGTTCAGAGCTGGTCAGAGAGAAGATGTTATCGAGCTCTTTGGCCTCCCGAGTCCCGCAGAGTGCTGCAAAACCTAAGTATACTCCTTTTTTGTGCTGGTAACTACTAGCTGCATAACACATTTTTATTGTCTTATCCTCAGTTCCAGGTACATTTAAGGAATAACTCAATGAATACTCAATCTATTGCTTACGAGCCAGATTACTTACAAATATTCATTTCACCAACAGCTTCTCCAGCCAGCCTGGAAGAAAGAGAGGACAGAGAAGTAAGGACTTGTTATTTAAGACCGTTTCAAGGCACAGTTTGGCACCAGGTACGTTGGATAACAGAACGGTCTGGGGTGCTAAGGTTTGATGATAAGCATCCAATAGGAACTGAAATAACACTTGTAACTGTGTAGGATGGGGGGATTGTTTTCTCTGCAAGTTCTTGTGGCCTTTCTCTCTCTTATTGCAGGGCAAATGTGAAAACATCCGTGGGTTTGGACATTATTTGGTTTGCAGGGGGAGCATCCACCTGCTCTCCTCTCCCTCCAACAGCTTCCTGTAAGTTGCAGTCTCGATGTCCAGGGCCAACCTGATGTTCATGGGCTCCTGGTACTCATGGAGCTGCTGGGCCAGGTCTGCCTTGGCTTTTTGCAGAGCATCTTCCAGCTCATCCAGTTTTGCCATGGCATTCTTGACTGCCATCTCCTCATGCTGCTCAGCGTCTGCAATGGCTGTCTGCAAACTGGTGCACTGCAAGAAGTGGAAATAGGTCTGGTGACTGCTCAGTGGGTTTGGACCCTGATTTTCAGGCATCCTTGCAAGGGTACAGCAAGGTAGTGAAGACAGAGGTGCATCCATGTTTGGATAGGATCTGCATGCCATTCCGGTTTCTTTACACTATCAATTTCCAAGTGGAGCTGCTGGATCATGTGGTTCATCTCTGAGATCTCCATCTTGGTGTAGTGGAGCTGTAGCTCCTCACACTGGGACGGGCAGGGAGATGAGACACCAGGGCACAGTCAGATCTAGGCAGGAGCTTGAACTCATTGGTGGAGATTGCCCCTGCTCTGATCTTCCCTTGACCAGGTGTTCTGTCTCTTCTGTACTCAAACCAAGCTCTTCCTCATGAGCTTTAGCATATTTCCTTCCTCCCTCTATCTCCTTATACTCCTCTGTCTCTCATTAAAATGGCATTTTCACATGTCCAAGAAACTAAATGAAATTCTATCTAAATCACCTTGATTTTACACCCTACTCCCCTGTCCTCAATACTTGCGCTCTCCAGTATAAACCAGCCTTTGGGAAATGCTAAACAAGAATTTTCGTAGCTCACCTGGTTAATTTTCACATCCTCACCTTGCTCTGGTACTAGGACTCGGCCTCTGCCCAGCTGCGGTTAGCGATGTCCTCGTACTGCGCTTTGACCTCTGCAATGATGCTGTTCAGGTCCAGGTTTCGGTGATTTCGGTGGTTGTCCATGGATAGGACCATGGAGGTGTTGGAAATCTGTGACTGCATCCGAGACAGCTCCTGTAAGTCAAACAAATTTGTTCTCTGTCCCAAATGTTTCACTGTTGTGCTTGTCCTGGAGATGATGTATGGTAGAGGCGTAGGAATGGGGAGGAACTGCAGCTCCGAAGAGCGCTCTCAGGCTGGTTCGATCCTGTTGGTACAAGGAAAATAGGGAAATAGCAGAACTGGGGAATTTGGGAGATTCTTACTGCTTTGAAGAGGGCTCGCAGGAAGTTAATCTCATCTGTCAGTGCATCCACCTTGGTCTCCAGGTCCACCTTGTTTCCGCAGGTGGCATCTGCATCCTGGAACCCTGACAACAGAGGTAGTGAACCAAACCTTCCCTATCTGCATTCTTGTACAAAGACCACTTGTCACTTAATACAAACCAGTGGGGAAAAACCAGAACTGAAGACTTTCTTGACCTCTGTGCCTTTAAACAGAGCCAAAAGTGAACTGATTTCTCCCCTCCACCTTTTTTTGGGGGGAGGGAAGGATGATGTCCATAGATCTAAGCAATTTTTGACATGTGAGTAGCCACTGAATTTCCCTTTTTTTGCTAGTGCACAGGCAGATATTTTGGACAATGCTTGAAATAGTGGAAGTTTCTTATTGTGTCTCCTGCAGGTGGGACCAGGGGGGCTGTGGAGGGTGGGACTGGATATAGAAAGGCTGCAGAAGTGGCAGAGCATCTAGTGGAGTGACTACAAGATATGGATGACCCAGATTTGATCTGGTATCTGAGGGACGAGGACTTGCCTGAATTTTGGATGAGGGGCCTGAAACAAGAAGGAGCTATTGCCAAGGGCTGACACATGGGCACAACTGGGTGTTTCTGCTTCAAGGAGGGATGACTACACGTTTGCTAAGTGCTTTGCCCAGCTTGGCACTGCTGGATAAAAAGGGTTATTTGCATTCAAATGCGTTTTGCCTTTAAAAAGTATGTCCCTTCTTTGTTGTTGGCGCCTCACCTTCTTCAGCAAAACAAAGTCATTCTCTGCAGTCGTGCTCTTATTGATCTCCTCTTCGTACCCGTTGGGAAGGGGAGATGAGCATCCGTTTACAGCTTCCGTACTGCAACCTACCCCGTCCACCATGGGCATATGGAAATCCTTCCTCCACGCATTCATTTTAGGGTGCTCGTAGAGAGACTAAAGAGTCTGTTCCCAGGGGCATTTACCACCGATGCATAAATCTTTGGAAGAAACAACAAAAATAGCTACCTAACAATGTTATGGCCTTGCTATGTCAGTGCAAATATTATACGTAGCGTTATTACGTATAATATATGCACTGACACCCCTGGGCTAGGTGGTGGGAGGAGGCCGTTTAGAAAAGCTGCAGGCCTTCATTAAAGGCACGTTTTATCCTCCCAGAAGTTTTTGCTGTGAATGGGAGCCATGCACTCTCTCAATTTTCTCAGGCCGGGAGGGCTGGGAGAAGCCGTAGCTGAGCTCATCACCACCACACCTGGATTAGTCAGAAAAGCCGGGATCTCTGACGCCAGCTCCCGTGGTGGCTTTGGGAAGGCTGGGGATGGCCAGGGAGGAGGGAGGATGATGACCTGGGCAAGGAAAGCCAAGGTCTGGATCAGCAGCAACGCGCCGTCCCACTCTTGGGAAAGGATGAAAACTAACAATAGCCATGGACTGATGCCCAGCTCAAATGAAATGATTAAATGGGGGAGATGAAAGGCAGGAGTTCAAAGGAAGGAGTCCATGCAGCTAATAAAACGTTAGCCTTTCATGGCCCTTTCATGGGGGAAGACTTCTTCACATCAGGAATATCCAACCCTTAAAATCATTTCCATTAAACAAAGTCCTAGCCTGTATATAGATTTGTGGGTCTCTAAGCTCTTAGCCATGTAGAAGAGGAAAACTAATTTGGCGTATGTCTAATTTCTAATTGCCATATGGATTAATATTTGACTCAGAACAGCAAAGCATTAGGAAGAATATTTTGGGATCCATAAAGTTTAAAATAAACAAATTCCCAGAAAATGGGGACAGAAGCCGTTGGTAGGTGTTGTTGCCTCAATGCAAGATGATGGTCCCTGCCCAGCAATGTGTATGATGTAGGTGAGTTTTTACCCAAGGATTCCCTGATCTGGAGCCAGAAGGAATATTTGCCACTTTGTCAGATGCAGGCAGAGTGTTAAAGTCCGAACCTCTTCTACAATGTGACCTTGGGTTGTCCGAGGATTTCTTGTCTGAACTCATGGTGCACCCAACGGTCTTTTCTCAGCAGAGCAATCTCTGTTGCTGCTTTGCCACTCCAGACTGTGCTAATGTTAGATGTTGCTTGTCAAAATTTAAAATGGCTTTCACCGTGGACCTCTGACGAGAACAGAAGGAGGACACTCTCTGACCCAGTTAATCAATAGCGATATTGTGCTTGCAGCTGGGATTTGTCTCAAGTCAGCTGCCTGGAACTTGACTATTTTGGCTAAACTCTGTACTTTGGGGTTTCTTCTATAGCTGATGGAGAAAGATATTTATCTCTGGAATGTCATTTGTCCCATCCTAAAATGAATTCTGGCAATCCGGATGGCTGATTTGTAGCAGACCCTGAGGTCTTACATGGCCAAACTGACACGGGACAGATTTTTTTCTCTGTTAAATGTTTCTTTTCTGGAGGCACAGAGAACCATAAAAAAGAAGTCTCAAAGTAGACTATGAATGGTGATTTCTCTCCCCTAAGGCAGTCGTTTCTGTTCCGATGCTACTTTTGGGCTAGAGGCATTGTTGGTAAAGGTGGCAGAAAGTGTCAAACACATGATCTCCGAAGAAAGGGAGAGCAGCGGGTTTTTGGCAGAACGCGCATGTTCTTGTTTTGAACTGCAGGCTGCACCTACCTCTCATCTCTCGTTTTTCTGGTTCCAGATTGACAATTTAAGCTCCTTACTTATTCACATCCATTAAGCAGTGTATCCCTCATGGGCATGGTAGCAGACGTTAACGCTTGACAGATGTTTTTCCGAAGTGTAAAGAGTGGATGAGAGAAGGAACACCTCCTCCTAACAGCCTAAAGAGGTAATGAGCTGACCTGAAACCCTCACCCAAGACTTCAGTGACTTTTCATGGGGTGGAAGCTAACTCCTGATGTTAGCTTCCAATTAACATTTGAAACTAACTTTCAAAGTGCTAAAACTATCCAATACATTGATATCAAGGAATGTTATAATAATAGAAATTAAACAAAAACAAAAACACTTAAGCACGCACTTAAAATTAATCTTTCTTTTTAGATAATTTTTCTCCCCTGGAAAGGACCCCAGATCAGTAAGAAATGTGAGTGTTCAGAGTGCTCAATAGTCTTGTTAAGATTCAGGTTTCATCCTGGTCTGTATTAAAATGACTACACAGGAGCTGAAACCATTTGGAAAGCTTAAGCTCTGGATAGACTAAGCTTTTGAGAAGCTGCTCCCAAACTCCTGTGGATATCTGACCGTCTGAGCTTTTCACAACCTTTAAGAAGTTCACCTGTCCCTGCAAAAAAATTGCCGATGTCTTGCCATGGGTAGAGTGCTGCTGCTGACATCTATACAGCAGCTAAAGTGAGGGGAACCGAGTCACTTTAGTACTTTCTGAGGTCTCACAGTTTTGGGGTTGCCTTGGGTCTCTTAACTCATCCAGGAAGAAGACCGAGTGAAGAAAAACTGGACAGGCTTCTTTCTGTGTGTGTGTTGCTTACCTGATCTTGAAGTCTTCGACAGCATCCAGCATAGCCTTCAGCTCTGAGCCGAGCTGCAGCACATCCCCAACTAGAATCTCGAGCTGTCTCCTCGTGTTGCTGATGTATCCATCAAGCATAGGTTCAAGGTTATTTTTCATTTTTTTGGTCTTTCAGGAGGCTCCATTTGGTCTCCAGTACTTTATTTTGTTGCTCCAGGAACCGCACCTGAAACCCACCAGAACAATTTAAATCATTTTGGATCATCAACTCAAAACCTGCCTCACTTTTCATGAGATGGGGGCTTTAATGTGAGGGGGGGGTGTTTTTCTTTTATGTAATTTAAATTGGGCTATAGATAGGCATGTAATCAAAAGATCATTCGTAGGAAAATTTGGAAACCAGGAGCAATATTCAACTACAAAGAAACCTGGAAAAATAATTTGCACCGTGTCCAGACTGTCCATAGAGCTCTGACAAAATGAGCTGTATGGACAGTCTGGATATGGAGGTAACAAACTGTGCATTAAGGATTTAGAAGTACATTTATAACATTGAGAGCAATCTTGATCCTACTGTACAGGCAATGATGAACATGCCAGGCTGGATGAAGTGGAATGTGTCTTACCTTGTCGATGAAGGAGACAAATTTGTTGAGGGATTTTATCTGATCCTTCTCCTCCTGCCGCACTCTCTGCATATTGGGGTCAATCTCCAAGTTAAGAGGTACCAAGAGGTGTGTTGGTTGACCATGACCTCTTGAATACCTCCAGGACCGCATCCTCCTCCAAACCAAAACCCAGCTCCACCAACTCTGTATGCCAACCCACCTTGACCTGACCCATAGCTGTATCCTGATCTAGCAGGACAATACCCTCCGCTCATGGAAATCCTCTTGCTTGCTCCTAGATTGTGAAGGCTCCTGCTGCCAAAACCACAGCTGATCTGTCCCGTGCCTCCACCACTGTTGCAGGACATGGACATGGAGCTGAAGCTGCTTTGGTTAACAGTCATAGCAGCAGAAGCAATACTGAAACTCTTAGTGAGCCCTCCTGACCTAATGCCAACTGACTTCTGTGCAATTGTTCGCCAGTGGCAAGAGCAGAGGACAATGAGGTGAGATGGCAAATGAGTAGAAATCTTTGGGAATTTGGATCAGGAGTCCCCTCTACCTTTTATCCTTCTGGAGAGCTGGGCTTGTCCGCAGAGGACTGCAGCTCAGTTCACTGAACTCATGGGTTTGGTATGTTGGCACGTGGCCACCTTTCCCAGCCCGTTAATCACCAGACTTGCTAATGCAGTGGGCTGGCAACCTTCAGGCTCATAAAACTAACCAAATTTTCTAACCTGTATTTTTCAGACTGGGGATTACTGGTGGGGAAAAAAAAAAGAAAAATTTACATCCAGAAGTTCCCTTTGGGCTTGCTTTTAACTTGGATAATGGTGTCAGCGCCCAGTTAGTTTAAAGCTGATGGGACTGAAGTTGCCACAAGAGGGAATCTAGAGATGTTGAAAATACCAGTTGGACATGCTTTGCTAAAGAAAAAACTGACTTTGTTCCCTGACTGCCAGGGGTCTTGGAGTCAGAACAACCTGTCCTCATCTAGGCAAGGAGTTAGATGTCTTGGTCTACACTTCTCATCTTCACAGGCAACGCTTCATCTGCACAGAGATACTTCTAGTAAAGATGATAATTTGGGAGCCTTTCTATTGGCTACAAAGGGAGCCTAGATGCTTTACTTAGCCAAAGTGCTGAATGATGAGACAGCTAAAACTACTTGGTCCTCCAGAGAGAAAACAGCCCAACTTGTAAAAGTCCAGGTCATCAGATGGTGGACAGGGGTAAAGATGATAATTTGGGAGCCTTTCTATTGGCTACAAAGGGAGCCTAGATGCTTTACTTAGCCAAAGTGCTGAATGATGAGACTTGGTCCTCCAGAGAGAAAACAGCCCGACTTGTAAAAGTCCAGGTCATCAGATGGTTGTTTGATGCTGGACAGGGTTTAAATAACAAACCAAATACCAGTTCTGCTGGTGTCAATGGAAATATGGTCCAGAGATGCCAGAGAAAGATGGGCAGGTGTAGCAGAGGACGAGCCGTTTCCTTTCCGGTAGTGTGTTATTGTGCTTAGATCTGGAGGGTTAATGAAAAACTGGGGGTTATTATATCGCCTTCTCTTGAGGCTAGGAGTCAGCATGCACTTACGTGCGTCACGTTTACTTCTAGTGGTGTTGTCACTTGGCAGGGCTGTGTCAGAGACTGAGCCAGCACAATCTGCTGTGGTAATCTCAGCACATTTTTTCCTTTTTTTCCTTCTTAATATGAGCTTTGGTGCTTTTGTAGTTTGTTTCTTGTTACTGCTGTTCAGGAGATCAGAGGAGGGGCACTAAACCTTCCTTACCCTCAGGGTCTTTAACTATCTCACAGCCTACGTCCGGGGACATTATTCTTCCCAAAGAGGATGAGTTTGGGGGTTTAATGGGTCTTTTCCATTTCTAATTATGGTAATGGCAGTGATGGCATTTTATTAGCCCCTGCAGCTAGTGCATGTACGGAACAGCGTGAGCTGAAGTACTTGCTTTCCTGGGAAACGCTAGATTTATATCCCTACATGACTCATCACATAAAACCTTGAAAGATTACAGGGGTTTGGGTGCAATCAAGGTGGCATGAAAATGCTGAGGTGCCGTAATGTAGAAATTAAGGTAGAGGGTGTTTTCTGTAGTGCCTGCTAGGAAGACTAGATATTTTCTATCCTGTGGAAGATACTGATGCTAAAAAAACTTTGCTGACACAAATGGGAATGGAACATCCAGCTGTTCTGTTCCTGTTGGATATGAGAGGTGTTCGTGGAGTTGCGATGAGTGCAGAGGAAGGGAAGGTCTCAACTCGCGTGTATGGCTTCTGTTTACCTTCAGCTCTACTCCGCTATGTCAACCACTCTTTTCCCTAAGGTCCTATAAAATAGTTGGAATTAAAAGGAGGATGCAACAGAATGAATTCTACGTGCCTTTTATTAGACAAACACTGGGAAATGAGGATTTCAGAGAGTCAAAGAACAAACAGGAGCATGGCATGGTTTATATAAATAAGAACAGGTGGCTTTGACTTCCAAATCTTCTGCAAGTAACAGGGTAAGGATTGCACACAGTATGAGAGGAAACTTGGCACACACTCGCTAACAGTGCTGATGTCTGACTTTAATAGTATCTCTTGGTTGAAGAGGTGGTGGAGACGTACTTCGTGCTAGAACTGCTTCCACCCACCACGCATGACCCGGTTGTGCCTTGTCCGCTTCCGGAGCTGAAGCCCATTCCTCCAACACAGACCCCACCTCCAACACCACTGCTGCCTCCGAAGCTGGGACAGTTTCCACTTCCATATCCTGTTCCTACAGCGGTTCTGGTCACAGCTGCAAGAGGAAAACACCCTCTTTAGAGGCATCCACAAACAGCGGGCTCTGAGTGGCAGGGAGATAAATGTAAATGTGGCCAAACTATCTTTAAAAGTTACTTACAGATATTCACTGCTCCAGCACCTTCTCCAGAGAGCCTGTTGGGGAGTGAAATGAGCCAGTAAGAATTTAACGGGAACCCATGAACAGGAGGTTGTTGTTTCAACTTGTTGAAAAAGCATGAGAATTTCCTTGGAATATTTTTGGTGGAAGTTGGAAACCTTGTGCGAAAGGCTGCCATCTTCCCAAACAGCCCATCTTCATGGGCAATTGCTTGCCTTTAAACATGTTTCAGGTATTCTACATGTGGGAAGCATAAATCTGACAAGGATCTGTAACTCCATTGCACCTCTGGAAGCTGGGATATAAAACTTGCACCCACCTGCACTCCTCTCCCTCCAGCAGCTTCCTGTAGGTTGCGATCTCGATGTCCAGGGCCAGCTTGACATTCATGAGCTCCTGGTACTCGCGGAGCTGCCGGGCCAGGTCTGTCTTGGCCTTCTGCAGAGCTGCCTCCAGCTCAGCCAGTTTTGCCCTGGCATCCTTGAGGGCCAGCTCCCCGCGCTGCTCAGCATCTGCAATGGCTGTCTGCAAACTGGCACACTGTGGAGGAAAAGTAGTGGTTGCATTGCTTATGTAGAGCATAGACCAATTCTTTGTACCCTGAGGTCACGATGCCTGGTCTAGATGCAGAAGACTTTGGGTTAACATCTGCAGGTGTGATCTTAATCATCATTGGATTAATCCATGTTCTGAGCCAGGTCACAGCCTTTAGTCTAACTCCACACCTCTTAACATCTCCTTAGGTTTACTAATATTGCATTAAGTTACTCTTAGTGATGTTAATGCACTGAGATAAATGCTGTCATATTCATTCCTGATTCAGCAGAACTCACTGAGATGCATTTGTTTCTATTCCCTGGAGTTGACTGGACAACCAAGAGGTGAGACCACAGCAAGAGTTACGCATTTACACCGCCCTTTACCTGTTTCTTCACGCTGTCGACTTCACACCGCAGCCTCTGGACATGGCGGTTGAGCTCATTTTTTTTTTCACGTCGTCGTTCTCTGCCCTCGCCTGCCGTAGCCGGCAGCTCTTCGTACTGTCACAGAGAGAGGAACAACCAGTCAAGGTAAAATATATTAGTTTGAGCCAAGCAGAATGTGGGTATGTGGGTGTTTGCACTCAGAATTATGCATATGTTCTCAATCCTAAATTAGCACTTCCAAACTTTATAGGATTTATTTATTTCTGATTTAATAAATCAGAAAGCATCTCGTGTTATAAAAAATCACAGTGGGACCCACCTCCCCCTGGAGATTAGGAGAGGGATGTGGTTTTCCCATTGCAAAAGCCTTCCTAGGCACTCACCCTGGACTGGTACCAAGACTCAGCCTCCGCCCGACTTCGGTTGGCAATGTCCTCGTACTGCGCTTTGACCTCTGCAATGATGCTGTCCATGTCCAGGCTGCGGTTGTTGTCCATGGTCAGGATGACAGAGGTGTCAGAGATCTGGGTCTGCATCTGAGACAGGTCCTGCAAAAGCAGCGGGTATTTCGGTGAGTCGCAGGTATGAGACATGAATGATGCTCAGAAGGAGGAAACCCCCCAAGTTAGAGAGTAGACCTGGGTGGACAAAGTGATTTTTCCAAGACAGTTTCAGGCAGGGTTAAGACAGGAGGTGAAATGGAAAAAGCATGGAATTATTTAGTGCAACAGAGTGGAAAATAATTGGTCCTGAGCCTCTGAAGTGGGAAAGGAAGGCAAGGACATTGGAAGCTGGGAGAAGAATGTGAATGCTGGTGCTTACGGCTTCATAGAGGGCTCTGAGGAAATCTATCTCCTCCATAAGGGAGTCCAGCCTGGCTTGCAGCTCTGTCTTGTTCATGTAGGCAGCGTCCACCTCCTAGAAGAGGAAACACATCACAAAAGCAAAGTGGTTTTCGGAGAAGCAAAGGAAAAGCTGGAGAATGTGTTTCTTGCTGTGCTCATGCAGGGCTGGGAGGCAGAGCGTGTGTGCACCCACCTTCTTCAGGACCACAAATTCGTTCTCGACAGCTGTGTGCTTGTTGATCTCCTCTTCGTATCTGTGGGATGGAAATGGAGGGTTGGTCTAGGCTTGTACAAATGTTATTCCATATATTCAGGACCAGCCTCTTGCGTTTTTTGTAGGTACAGTTTTGTGCCTCGGTCTCGTAGCCCTGTAATTTTCTACCTGTGACTTTCAGCCATGGGAACTGAGGCTGAATATGTCTCATATAAAACTTCACCTGGGCCTTACTCAGAAGATTATATCAGCAAAAAGGCCTTCTTTCCTTACTTGATTGCACAGATGCAACAAAGAGCTGGCACCTCTGACAGCCCACCCTGCTCAGACCACAAATGGATAGACTTACTTGTTCTTGAAGTCCTCAGCAAGGCTTTGCACCTTGTTCAGCTCCCCTGCCAAGTTCTCCTTGTCCGTCAGCAAGCTGTTCAGCTGTCTCCTGAGGTTGTTGATGTAAGTCTCGAAGAGGGGCTCAATGTTGTTACCGACTGTTTTGTTCCCCTGTTCTTGCAGAAGGGCCCACTTGGTCTCCAGGACCTTGTTTTGTTGTTCAAGGAATCGGACCTGGATAGGGAAGGGAGATGTTTCAGAAACAGTGATTTTTAGGATGATTTTCCGTAGAGAGGCAAGGTACAATCCTGTAAGGATTCGCTTGCTGAAAGGGGGACGCTCTCAGCTGATAATTTGTACAAGCAAGCGAGCATTGCGCATCTGATGTTAACATTCCTAGTCTCTTTGCAAACTCTGCTTCCTTACATCCTATGTCACCATTTTCCCCGTGTTGGCTGGTCTCATCTCAGCATTAATGCAAGGGATGAATGGTCTCAAAGCTGGAACCCCTCAGGTTTTATTCCCAGGCTGCTGGTGTTAGAAATGGCAGTACAGGAACATCAAAATTGCTGGTAAAGATATCACTTGCCCTTGTTTGTACTTCCCCACTGAAGATAATCAAGAAATCTTATGTCTCACCTTGTCGATGAAAGAGGCAAATTTATTGTTGAGGGTTTGAATCTGATCCTTCTCATCCTTACAGATACTCTGGATGTTGGGGTCAATCTCCAGGTTGAGAGGTTTCAGAAGGCTCTGGTTGACGGAGACTTCGTGGATACCCCCAGCTGGGACAGCAGGGAATCCAGGGCCACCCATGCCACCACCAAACCCAAAGGCACCACCACTGAAACCACAGGAGATCCCAGTGCCAGCACCAAAACCTGCAGGTCCATAGAAGCCACCACCTCTTCCAGCTACGGAGATCCTATTGCATCCACCAAGACTGTAGAGGCTCCTGCTTCCAAAACCTCCAGCAAATCTTCCATACCCAGCAGCAGTACTGCAGCTTCCACCTTGGGATGCAGAACGTAAGCAGAAACTGGTGCTGCTGGCATTTGGGATGAAGGCAGAAGCAGCGCTGAAGCCAATTTTGCTCTGGTTCCTCACAGCGCACTGGCGAGACATGGCAGCTGATGAGAGCAGGGTGAGAGCGGTAGAAAGAATAAAGCAGCGAGGAAGTGGATGAAGGCAGGAAGGTGAAGTTGTGCTCCCCTAGACTCAACGAGCCCTTTTATATCCTTACTACCTGGGGATGGGTCTGGCGTGGTGCTCATCTTACAGATTAACGGGGCTCGGCACACCCAGCAGCGAAGCAGACAGTGAGTTCACCGTGAGCACAAGCATCTATGAAGCACTCACAAAGTGCAGGAGTTGCATTTTTTTGTGATGGTCATGATCTAGCTGTCGAAATACCTGAGAAAACACTAAATACTGCCTGCTCAACTCTTCTTTGCAGCCACCCCTTTCCCACTCCCTCTTTTCACCTCTGCAGTAGATGGTTCCTCGTGTTGGGCAAGCGCTCTCTCATCTCTATTTCATGGATGAATCAATCCCTCTGTTGTGTAAAGGCAGAGTATTTCACAGTGCAGTGGTCCGAAGTCTGAGAAATCTGTTACTGAGGTCTGTGTTTTCCTGCTACTGTGGTTTTGAGTAAAACCCAGCAGGGCATCGGCATCTCAGGCCCCGACTTGTTGGAAATTCTGGACTTTTGTTCTCATGCCCAAACAAGAGTCATTTAAACAAGAACTGATACAGAAGGAAGAAAAAAAGTGGAGGGAAAGCCAGGGTGGTGATGAGGCATTAGTGGAAGTCTTGGACCATCAGCTGTCAAAAACCACCTGGGGAGCGCGAAGGACACGGAAAGTAATTTTATGAATGGTATTTTCAAACCTTTTCTTTATGCGAAAAGTGTCTACGTTTCATCCTGATTCAGACTGACAACAAATGATGAAATATCAGAATATGACCTGGGAGCGAGTTATCATTGTGACGACACAAAACCTGAGTTGGCGGTTTCTCAGGACTTCACCTTCACAGATTTTTGGGCTGTTTCCTGACTCATGGGGTGACCTTGTCTCTACATGGTGTGAAGCCTGTTCCCAGGCTGCCCTCCCCACGTCTATCGTCTTCCCCCTCTTACTCACAAGGAAATTCGGTGCTTGGGATCCAGGCTTATGACATTGTTCACAGACAACTCCCTTTACTCTTATTCCGCATAGCACCCAGGAAAAGTCAAATAGTGCTTTTCTTTGATAAAAGACACCTGGTGTCTTGACTCGCCCTGTGCATGCCGTGTGGTAGCACTGTATGTGTGGGCACTTATCCTAGAGCAGGCGAGAAGCTCCAAAGTCACTCCCAGTGTCTTGTCTGGATGCCCAGGGATGGAGATGCTTCTCTCGGACCCTGCTGCCCTTTGGGTTTGCCAAGGTATGTCTCTCTTGTGCATGCCCATGCCCAAGCAGAACACCTGCTCATCGGAGGAGGTAGCAGCCCACCTGCAGAGCGTTGCAGAGAAGTCGTAGCTTTCCCCAGCCATTAAAAAGACACGTGCAGGTACTGGGGTATGGAGCAGGAGTTCACAGGTGCGTCTTTCAAGTGCATGCTTGTGCTTGCCATTTCACACGTGAAGGCCAGGCAGTCAAGTGAGTTTGACCAGAAGGTCCCAGGAAGGTAATTTGCAGATGCCCGTCATCTCTTTTTGCCTTTCAGCCATGCTTTTTTTTTGTGTGTATGTGTGTTCTATTTTCCTCTCTATTCTTCTAATGTTTCCATTACACACCCTGGAAGGAAGCTAAAATAACTGTTCTGGGAGTGTTTCAGCTACTGTCTGTTACAACAAGCAGCAGTTTTTAAGAGACAAGAGCTTTTGTGACTAAGCTACCGACTGTCTGTCTTAAAGAACCCTGTAAAAACGTTATGGGTAACAATTAGCAATCAGTTCCCTCCACACATGGCAAATTCAAGCCCCTGAGTTGCAAGAACCATTCGCTTCATTATGACTAAGGTTTTAAGCTGGGCTGTGCTAGAATTAATGAGCGCTGTCCTCTCCCACTGAAATACAAGCCTCAGGTCATTGCTGCATCTGTATAACTTGTCCAGCAGGACTGGATGCAGAAGGTTACGTACGTGGTCACCACAGCCCTGCTCTGGAGCAAGGACAGCTGTATGTTGGTCGTGTATCCAGAGATGCCAACCTTTGCCAGGGTGGGTTTTTTTGTATCTTGCTTAAAAAGGGATTCCCTGCGAGAACAAACATTCTGGCCCCAGCCTTTCTCATGCTAGATGCAGGGCTTCGTAATCTCTGTGTTCTGACCCAGGTGTTGACGTAATGGATGGCATCCGTCTGACGTGCCTGTTGGCTATATTTGTTATGTCGTCCTTGGTTAGAGAGTGTGTTTGGGCAGCAGTGAGGAAGACCATTGTTTAACCTTGCCCAGGCTCTGTTAAGAGTGAGGAGATTGTTCCTTCCCAGGAAGGTGCTGCGAGTATTCAGGAGCAGGAGGGGAGAGCCGCAGCAGACCCGTAACCAAGCCTGCAAGTTTTGGGGAAGGAGATTTCCTGAGGGATACAGAGAGGAACAGGCAGAGTTCAGAGCATCCTAGAAAATTACAGGAAACTGCTGGTCGTGAAGGAAAACCCAAATACAGTCTATCATTCAGGCACTGCCAGTTCCCCTCTATTTACCCATCCCTTTGAGTATTTTCCTAAGGGTGCTTCTCTACCCATTACTTGAGCTTATTGAAGCACATAGGGTGAGGGTTGGGATTTTTTTTTTCTAATCACATTTATTTGTTCAGCTGATCTTCCAGCAATGAGATCTCTCGCTCTGTAGCTTTCAGCCAGGTGATGCTCTGCTTTTATTTCTCAATTAGTTTCTCCATATTAGTCAGAACCACATCTAAAATTGCTTCACCTTCTCTGGTTTTTCTCCACCTTCTCAAAACAAGATCTTGTCTCCAGTGTATTCTAGGGATGTGAAGAAACATTAGGTCTTGAAGACTTTCACTTTCCAACAGGGTATTTCTTTATAGCTATTGGATGAGGGACATCTAATTCAACGTAGCATGTGAATGCATATGGACGAGATCCTCCACCTGCTTATAGTCAAAGGAGAGGGAACATCAGCATCAAGACCCAAGATAAACACCTGAAACAGCATGGCTGGTTCTCTGAAGGGAAAGGGAGAGCTTTCAGCCCGCTCGGGTGGATGTTTGCCCTGCTGGCACCTATGCTTAGGTGAGAGAGCTGACAGCAAAAGGGGTTTTGAGATGGACTGATATACTTGAACAAGTCGGGTGGTTGCTCTGACTCCCCTAGTAATTAGTTCCCTATTGTTAGAAGTTTATGCAGGTACATCATACACTTGGCACTGCCCTTTTTACCCCCTGGGAGCCAGGCTGTTGGATGTTGTATTGGCTGGAAAGTGCATAGTAAATGAATCTTAGACCTTTTCCCCTGTGCCCAACTCTTGCCTTGGCGTGCCCTGTGTTTAGCTTCCAGGTGTTTTACTTGTGCGGTGGGGAGAACATTGAAATCCACGGCAAACCTCCCTTTGGTGCTACGCTGTGCCTGTGTGTTTTGGCTGCTAATGGAGCGATTCGGGGAAATGTGAATGAGGAGCAAAAACCTGAGCCTTTAACTGGGCAGGGCCCTAGGAAAAGTGCTTGTTATCTGCATTTGCATTTGCTATTCCATGTCTTTAATTAAAAAGGTCCACAAAATAGAATAAATTACATATGCATTTTTATTAGACAAACACCAGAAAGTGAAGAGAGACAAACAGTCATGGGACACATTTTATATACAAAATCCAGCCAAAAAATGCTGAGCTGTAATAAGCAAGCTGCAAATTTAAAACAGTTGGACTCGTGTTCAATAGCAGAGCCCTAC